GGCTCTACGTCAGCGACTGGATGCTCGCCATCAAGGTCCAGTGGAAGTTCTTCAAGAGGAAAAGCGCCCCCGCCCCCCGCTTCCGCGCCCGCGTCCGTCCCGCTCAGTGCCCGTTTTACCAATAAACTGAGCGCCCCAGAGCCGTGTGCGCCTGCTGCTGCGCCCACAGCCCAGTCCCGTCCTGGCCCTGCAGGCTGTCCTGAGGTGCGCAGGGAGGCCGCCTGGGACTGCGGGGCTGCCCCGTGGAGTGTGCAGGTCAAACCGCAGAACGGGGCGGAGTGGCCGGGGTGTCTAGGCAGGGTGAGAGCCAGCATCCTCCGCGGCTCCTCCCCCAGGCTTGTGCACACCCCTTCACCCAGCTGGGGCGCCCTCCCAGGTCTTCAGTACTGGGGCTGCAGGAATGCCCCCCGCAGAAGCGGGGAGACCATGGGTTTAGTCAGTGGAGCAGAGGGGTCTTCACTGGGGTCTCTGACCCATCTAGGCCAAGACATGCCCTGACCTTGGCCAGCAAGGACAGGGAACCGGCAGGGCCGCTCTTTGTCCACCCATCCCCGCTCCGGGAGGAAGCCGCCTGCAGCCCATGCCTGTTCTTCTTGCTGCAGATGGAGGCCCTGCCAAACTCACAGTGCCAGGGCTGGGGCCTCTCTGCCGCCCCAGGTTTTCCAGCCTGCTACAGGGTGGACTGTGGGGTTCTCTGCAGGGTGAGCAGCAGAGTGCTGGAGGTCCCAAGGTGTTACTTCCCCTGGACTCTTGTAACAAATGGCCGCGCGTGCTGTGTGGTTGCTGGAGGCCAGCTCAAACTCGGCACCCACTCCTTCCACCTCCAGCTTCTGTGACTGCTGGCATTCCCCATCTGGTGGGAGACACGTGTCCCTGCCTGGTCAGATGGCTTCCTCTTCCATGAGAATCACGTCTCCCTCTCACAGGGCACCCGCACTACACTTGGGGCCCTCCTGGATAACCAGACAAACCTCCCATCCTAAGACCCTCAGTTGCCTCATGTCTACAAGAGTCCTGCTTGCACACAAAGTGGTCCCCAGGTGCCAGGGGTTGGGCTCCAGATGCCCTCTGGCACACTTGTTCTTCTACAGTGGCTGACAATGGAAACCATGCAGCCCAATGGAGGGGCCATCTGCCAGCCAGAGAGAGGAATGTCCAGGGGTACCCTCAGAGGGGCTGCTAACGTCTACCCAGTCCCAAACATCTGACAAAGGCAGAATAGGAGGAAAAGACCAGTGTTACTAGGCAGCCATGTGGCTTGGGAATTTGGCTCCCCAGGGCTGTGCCAGGTGCACACAGGGCAAGGGTTTGGGCTGACAAGGTCACAAGGCCTCCAAGGAATCCTAACCTAGATAGAGATGCAGGATGCCCTGTCAGCTGAGGATATAGCTCATTGGCACAGTGCCTACCTGGCAAGTGCAAGGTCCTGAGTTCGATTCCTGGTGCAAAAAAGAAGGAAGGTTGCCCTGTCAAATGTGAACTTCAGGTGAAAGACCAAATAGTTTTTTAGTACAAAATATTTGGGACAGCTGGGCGTGGTGGCACACCCCTTTAATCCCAGCACTCGGGAGGCTGAGGCAGGATGATCATTGGGAGTTCGAGATCAGCCTGGGCTAGAAAGTGAGCTCAAGGCCAGCATGAGCTGCATAGTGAGACCCTGTCTCAAAAAGACAAAAACACACACACACACACAAAAACCAAAACATATATATATATATATATATATATTCACATACATACATACTTGGGACAAATTTACACTAAAAATACTCATTGTTTATCTGAAATTCTGACTTGGCTGGGCACCCTGTATGTCATCTGGTGGTGCTACCTCAAAGTACTAAGTGTTTCCTGGTGTTTCCTGGTGGACCCTGCCCTGCCCTGGTTCCTTCCTGGACCACCGTTGTTGGCAGTACCAAGTGTGGCACTGCAGAGCTTGTTGCCCCAGGAAGTTCTCCTTACACACTTGACTCAACTAGACGTGGGGCCAGACTGTAGAACCGCCAGCCTGAGACAGGCTGAGTGAGACACGGCCCTTGCTAAAGTTGAAGGAAGCCCCCGTGTGCAGACCGTGAGGGGTGGTGAAGTCCCCTTTCTCTCCTGTTCCCAGTTGCTGTTGCAAGCTTGGGAGTCTCTGGGAACTCTGGTCATGCAGACGCTGCAGGCCAGTCAGGTCAGCCTGTCGTCCACTTCTGCCCGTCCTGCTGGCCTGTGGTCTGTGCTGGGGCCACACTGTCCCCCAAAAGATGGGTGCATTCCTGGGGTGGGGAATGACACGGTTTTGGGGAGTCTCAGGTGCCTGAAGACCAGAGGTAAGGGCATTCCTGTTTCCATGACTCCTTGGTGGGGAGCATCCCAGCTGAAGTGGCCTGGAGCATGGGTCTCTGGAGAGGGCCTCAGGCCTGTGCCTGAGGGAGTGGGGCGGTGACACCAGGGCCTGGCAGGTTCAAGTTTCTAGGCCCTTTGCCTGGGGTCTCTGAGCTCTCTGCAGTCCTGTGCCTAGCTCAGGGGTGTCCCCAGGTGGGGCAGTGACCAGAGGAGGCAGAAACCTGTTCTGAGTTCTAGCATTGACAGGTGGGGTGAGGGGACAGCACACAGTCACCTCTGGGAGTGGCAGGACTTTACCACTGAGCACCAAGGGGGAACACCCTGTGTCCAGCCTGCCACAGCCCTGTGGAGGACAGGGGCTTGGGGCTGGAGGTACAGTCCTGGGTCTTGGGGCTGGAGCTGCCCAACTCAGTGTGGACTGGGGAGCCAGGAGGGGGGATGGTGGGCACTGACCACACGTCAGATCCGAGAGGGTTAAGATGTGGCTACCTGTCGGGAGGATGCATGGCACTGGCACAAAGTGACCACCCAGTGACCATGGTCTTTCTAGTGCCTCTGCCGCTGGCTGAGCCAGGCTGAGGTGGAGGTGAGCACGTGGGACACTCCTTAGGCCCAGTGGCATGGGATAGACCTTTCCTCACTGCACGGGAGTGAGGGATGTGTAGTGGGAGCAAGCGCAGTACTGGCTCCTGGGCCTCAGCTTGGGAAGCCCATGGGCAGCTGGACAGGACGGTGGCAGGGTGAGGGTAGCTAACCACAGCCTGGACGCTGCCCCTGGCCTGGCATGGGTGGAACTACAGTTTCAGTTCTAGGGCGGTTGGGCTGCCATGTGGCTGAGGAGGACCCCAGAACCAGGGAGGTGGTGCTGCAGTTCTGAGAGAATGGGGACCCCAACGACAGTCCTGAAGTCAGGGCATAGGGTGGGATTGGGGAGCAGGGGACACCCTATGCTGGGTGGGTGAATAAAGCAGGCTCCACCAAGACGCCAACTGGCAGCTTCAATCTGTGCTGTGGAAACCTTTGAAAAATTCATGAAGAGTTGGGAGCGGGCTGCAGAGCCTTGCTGAGCTGGCCAAACCCCATCTGTCTCCTGCCCCGTCTCCAGGGTCCTGGCACCCCCATAACCTAGGCAGGAGGGAACTTCCCAATCTTCGCCAGACTCCAGTGGTGGCTTGAGGGCTGGGAGCCCTGGTGTGACCATGCTGTGTCTCAGCAGTGGCTTCCGGGCTCCATCCAAGGGGCTGAGCCCGAGACAGATGAAGCTCTGGTACCAGAAACGACTGCTCCTGAGAGTGGCTCCTGTGTGTCTGGGCAGGACTGTGGGTGTGCAGGATGAGTGTGCACAGGGGAGGTGTGTGTGCCTGTGGGGTGCGGCTTGGGTGCAGAGCTGTGCGTACCTGTAGAGAGTTGTGTGGAGCTCAGAGAACCTGGCAGGGTGTCCCAGAGCCACCTGGAGTAGCAAACAAAGCCAGAAGAGAGCCAGCACCTCCCGGCCCCTCAGAAACCACTGGGGCTCCTGGTTGCTGTCTCATGGGAGGGCTTCCTCTGCCCCTGGCAGGCCCAGCTGGTCCTGTCCTCTACCCCTGCTGGCTTCTCCCTGTCCCATTGGTCACCTTCCAGGTAACTCAGCCCTGAGTAGGCAGCAGCCAGCAGCACAGGTACACATGGTGAGCGGTCTCCCAGAAGACTGCGAGAAGAAAGACCTCACCAGCTGCTTTGTGAGACACTGCGGCTCAGGGCAGAAAGACAACCTTATGCTGGAAGGCTCTGGAGGGGACCCTGTGGGCTAGGCCTGTGCCCCCTTGGAGCTGATGGACCTTCAGCAGGGGGAGGTCCACCGCCAGCTGCCATCTGAAGGTGACCAAGTCAAGCTAGCTGGGCTCAGCTCTCTGGAAGGTGTGGGTGGGTGGGAAATGCTGAACTGCACAGGGAGTGGCCGCATGACACCAAGGAGGCAGTGGGCAAAGGAGCAGTGGCTCTCGGGTCATGGGCAAGGTCGTGACATTTCCCTGTCCTTCCCCTGGTCTGAGTAAACCTTTTACCCCAGGGGCTGGGAGGGGTGGATGTGTGCTTCTCCAACCTTCCCGGATGGACGTTGGGTTTCAGTGGCTCTTCCCTGTGGCCTGCACCCAGGAAGATGAGTCTGCATCCACCCAGCCTTAAGCCTGCCTTTGGCACCCTCTCTCCTCCTCTCTGGGCTGTGTGTCTCCTGTGCCCAGCTCTGTATCTGGAAGTCGAGGATGGCAGTGTGTGGAGGAGATGCTCTGAGCACCAGCTGGAGTTGATTGGGTTATTTTTACCTTCACACTTATATAATGCCTCTTCCTGCAAGGCGCTGCTCTGTTTCCTAAACCTTAGCTCATCCACCACAGCAATCCTGTGATATACTTACTGCCTTTATCCCCATCTTACCAGTAAAGAAACTGAGGTCCAAAGAGAGTCAGCGATCAGCCCAAAATCACAGATGTAGATTAAGCTCATGGTCAAGTACAAGCAGTGTTGTTCTGCTGTAAAAGCAGCATCTCCCCAACTCAGAGATTCATAACATAAAGATCCCATGGTCGCCTTGTGGGGCTCTGAGGCCAGGCCCATCCTAACACCTGCAGGGTGGCCATTGTGCAGATGCTGCCCATGGGTGGAAAGCCTCCTCAGGGCTCTTGCCCCATCTCTCGCCTCCTTTTGCATGGAAACCCCCCTCCCTTAGCTTGGGTATTCTCAGGAACTATGGAGAGAAAATCCATTTGTTTGTGCTAAGATAGGAATGGCTAACACATCACAAACATTTGCAACTTATTTTATTTTTTAACCTTTG